CCCCCCCCCCCCCCCCCTCAGCGGCGCGCCAGCCGGCCCAATCGCCCGGGACACAGCGGCCTTTCCCCCCACTGTCCAGGGTGGCTTCGAAGGGGGCCATGTGCCAGGCTGCCCCGCCGCGCGCTGTCCGCGCAGGTCGCCCGGTGTGGCCGCCAAGCCCCCCGGCGCGGGCGCTGGCCGAATGCGAGCATCCGAGACCTGGCGGAGGAAGAGCGGCGTGATGATATCAACGCGGATGCAGGAACGCGTCCGCTGGATGTCCTCTGGGAAGGAGAATCCGGGCCCTGTGACAAGGGCCTGCGGGCCACAGGGTCGCGCACCCCGGAGACGCAGGCTGCCATTCGCTGATCGGCCGCGTCCAGAGCAGCTGGGGGCTCCCTCCGTGGCAGCTCGGACGCAGTTCGTGGGCGTCCAGCCTGGGTGCGGCCGGGTCACACTGTGCCCGCGTGGAGTGGCGAGCCAGGCAGCACACGGTCGTCGCAGAGCATGCAGAGTGCAGAGTGTGCGGCCTGCAGCTGGCTGCTGCAGTGACTCCGCGGATGCAGCTCCGATCATACGGGGCAGTGCGCTGCAATTGATAGATGCCATCAGCGCGTCGCTTTGGGCTCTCGGTACCGAGCGGGTCTCCTGGAACGAACTGAATAAGATGGGCCCATGATGATAGGGTGTACGTTAGTACGAGATTGCCCCTCAGATTCCGTGTAGAACGCGTCCGACGCTGCTGGGATTCATCTGATCCAAACTGAGAGATTCTGACCACCAGATCGTCGGGGAGAAGCGCCGGCTGCGTTACGCGCGATTCGGCGCCGCGCGCGGACAGTGGCAGTCCGGACAAACTTGATACCTATCGCGGAGATGACATGCCGTCCACAAAAAAAAAGACAAGTGTCCACATATGCGGCAGGATGTGGATTGAGCCTCACTGAGACACGTTCGAGAAAACGCGGTCGCTTGCTCGCGTCACAACCCGGAGAGCTCTGTTGTCCGGATCAGCTATGGCTCAGGACGTATCGCATAGCTACAACATGCGCGGCCACATGTCAGTCAGCTGGGAGACATAGACTCCGATATCATTATGTTTTCTCACCTTCAAATTGCGGTCGCGACACCGCCCCCAGCCATGTCCTCGTACCGCTGGACGCTGGAGAAGCGCGTCTTCAATTAGACTCCACTCGTGCATTATACCAGGCGGCTCTACATGCCGAGACTAAGTGACCAACCACGTCGTGATACCGTGAGATTCCAATTCTACATGTTGAACACTTGGGCGAGCTGCCGAGAATGCGCCTGCAGATGTCCTTCGGAAGTGTCAGCCATGTGGGTGTCTATGGTTTACCCGCCCCAAAATTGAGTTGCGGATGAATGATGAACAGCATTGCGTTGGAAGTTTGAGGGTCACTGCATTGATTAGATGCCGTGGCCCCTACTGTAACAAATATGGGCAGGCTGCCGCCTCATCTGTGAGAGTTGCGATGCCCGACCATCAAGGACTGCCTGTCGCGCACGGTTAGAAGCAGGCAGAACATCGGTAGTTGTGACTTGAACACCACTCTTGACGCTAACGGAGGTGGACTCTATCGGAAGTTTATCTGAAGAAGTACCGCACGCATCAATACATAATGTGAGACGCTCACTGCCTGGTACATGGTCCATGCTGCGATAGGGCGAGACCGCATCTACACCAGACATATGCACCATCTATTGAATACCGAATGTCGCCCTATAGCCACTCGCAATTCAATTACAGTGGCAATGAACGCCCCAGGTGAGAACATGTGAGTGACACGTACATTTCTAGAATTCGAGGGTATCGTCACGCCATTGTGGTGCAAAGAAAGCAACCCTCAGCCTGGCTTGAAACAACGCCATGAGTTTCCCAATTAAGTTAGGCCCTGGGAGCGCGAAACCGCACCTCAAGATCCCTCGCCCCAATCAATGGAAAGCCATCCAAAGAGTCATAAAAGTTATATGCACCGACATATTCAGGCACCATGTGGCTCTTGCGATCGTCATACTGTAATTGGTGTCCCCTGGTGTTGCATCGTAAAGAATGAAGCGATCGGGACTATGACAAGTCACCATTTTAGCATTAGGACCCTAAGATTGTGTGAATCTTGACGACTCAAAGATGTGGCTAGCGCGTTGAAACTGAATGATGCAGCTGTCTGGCGTTCCACTATACCGTCAAATACCAACATTTCGGTGTTGGGTAGGCACAATGTTTAGAGAGCTTCAAAGAAACTTGCGTGACCTCCCGCCAAGGGGGCAGTGACCCGACAACGGCGTGTCTCGCATGTTCCGAGGTTCCTGGGAAGAGTGATGGACCTTGGCGTTGGCACGACACACATGACAGTCCATAAGAGCGGATTCTGGGCATGGGACAAGATGGACACGCACGCTATTCTTCTTGTCCATCACAGAGCGCACTAGTAGGCGGTAAATGCGTTACGTACAGAGCTCGAACAGAATGCGCTCACAGGTCGCGGCTAGCCGCCACGACTTAGTACCAGCTTGGGCGATCGGCCGAAAGATAATATATAAATTCCGGACAGAACTGAACGATCTCTGATATCTTTATCCAAGTCGGCGTGGCGATAGGACTTTCCTGGCTCAAGTAACCGTAATATGACGCAGGTACAAGAGCATGGGTTCAAACACGTTCGGATGCCGCTGAAGGCACAAACGCATACATCAGTTTTATTCAATCCGAAAAATAGTACGATACCCTCTCACAAAATCATACCCATGATAATTTCCCTAGCATCATTCCAAGCGTTTAGTCGAATAGCGAAATGATCCAGTCATCAACATCGGTATTCCCACCGTCTATAAAATGGAATCTGATATTAGATGACTGGCGCGCGTGCCATGTAATTTTACTGCTTCAACTGGAGCTCAGGTGTCAAGCCTCGACCAAGCAGCATGACCTTAGCAGCAACTTGAATAAGATTCCCAAGCTCGCGGCTGCTTTAATCCTGTTCAAATGAAGTTGCCGTCATCGGGCGCGTGGGTAAGCTGTGAGCTCACGTGAAGAAGCGCGGTGGCTGGCTCTGGGCTCTGGCTGAGGGCTCCTTACAGAGGAGCCCTCAGTCCGTCCATTACGATCCTCTATGCAGACACGACAATCCACAATTAGAGGACGCTTGCGGCAACGTCCTGCAACTCAGAAGCCTTTATCCATTGTTGCCCCATCCCCTCGGCGGCGTTCCTCGAATCGTTCAAATCTTAAGCAAGGTAACAGATTTACCTTTATCAGACGTCGTGTTTCGAGGCTGCATCGAGTCATTGCTGTGATATGCATGCAGAACGTTTCTGACATATATGCTAGACATTGTAGAGGACCCTGAACCTGGACCTCAAGCCAAGAGACGCAGAGTGGCTGAAGGTGGCACACGAGCGCCGGTAACGAGGAGGCGTTCTGGTCCAGCTACGCAGAAGACAGCCCCTGTGCGGAAGTCCAGGAGCACGAGGCGTTCCTCGCCTGTCTCTCCCGCTGAGGAGGCTGATGATACCCAAGACATAGAGGAACCTAAGACGCCGAGACGTAGGAGTAGAGCTGCTCATTCTTCAACTGCACCTGAAGACGCCACCGCACGCAAAGAGGAACAGCTAAAGCAGCTGAGAAAAGACATTCGTGAACAAGAGCGATCGTTAAAGCGCAAACACGATGAATTTGACTCAGCATCGAAGTCGACGCAGACTGCGTTAACTAAACGCGAGTCGTCGATCACCAAGAAGGAGAAGGAGCTGCGACGTATGGAGAATCAGCTCACGAAGAGAATGGAGGCTCTCAGCGAGAGGGAAGAGGGTATAAAGAAGCATCAACAGAAAGCAGATGACCTTGTTGTAAGCTTGTCGCTGGTGCATACGGACAAGGTTCTGATGCAGCTGGAGGAGCACTTTACTTGTGCATTGTGAGTGGTGTGCTTGATTGGCTGTTTTCAGTCAATTAACTCAGATTCAGGTGTTTCGATGTGATGTGCGCCCGCCTGAATTCCCCCGTTTTTGCAGCTGACTTGGTGCTACAGGGCCTGTCCATATTCTCTTGCTCCTAGCACATGTGGGCATTCATTCTGCGCTCTGTGTATCATGAAGTGGTTCTTTTCCCACATCCATGAAGACTGCGGTAGTTGGCACGACGTGCTGGAGTGCCCCCTTTGCCGCGCCGTTCTTCCTACACCAACCCCGGACCCCCCACGTCGAGCGGAAACCTGCCCGTTCACCCCCAACCGGTTGGCTGATAAGGTGATTACTGACCTCATTGATGGCCTGCGGACCACCGGTCGCGAGACGATCAGCGCAAGTGAGAGCAAGGGGAAAAGTAAGGCCAAAGCCGGGGACAGTACATTAGACTCAGCTGTTTGGAACGAGGGTGGTAGTGCACAAATGGAATGGCAGGAGCGAGATAGGTCAGTACGTGCGTTTTCAGACCTGTCGTTGCTGATCTGTTCTTGTGTTATTTTCATTGTTTGTTCAGGAAAGGTAGGGCTGAGATGGCCCTCTTGGCGGGCTCGTGGACAACTATTGCTCCCATAGATTTGGTTCGTATGAAGAAACGAGTAGTATGATATGGCTCTTTCACCTTACTTTTCCTTTATAAATCTGGATTGATAGATCGATCTGGTAGGAGATCTGTATGTCCCGCACATCTTGAGCTATTAACTTGTTGTTATCACATTACACTTTATTAGGATAGTTCCCATTGCCTACTTGAGCATATATCTACATATACACCTAGTCATAAGAATACAATTTGCCAATGAGAATAAGACCTGTCTTTATGCAATGGTATGGATGCGAGCAATTCTCAATTCTTTAACCCGCGCACTCAAAGGAAGAAGCAACGTTCTTTGAGACCACGCATTCCAAGAATATCCTGACAGCCAAGGCATCAGATGCATGTGTAGTTGAAAGCGAGCGTAGATCTTACCCAATCCGCGGCAGTAATCCATAGATCAGCTACTCCATCCATTTTACCCAGGACTGCTGCGCCTTTCCAGGCGAGCACGCGGGGGTCGACATCTTTTGGGGGAGGAATAATTTGCACCTTCTCCATATTGGGAACTAAGGGTGTGGCAATGGCCTGCAATCTACTCGTATAATGAGTCCTATCCGTAACAATTTCTGCGAGGCAACAGGAGATTTACCTGCTTTCCAATGCATGCGCCATGCCAGGCACTAGCGCCGTTCCACCGATGATCAGGACCGCCTGAAGATACTTGCGAATCTTCTCGTCCCCGCCTGCCGCTCGAGCGCTGTTGAATACTGCAACATCCAACGGCAATTTGCTAGCCTCAAAACAGACATCAATTGTGTATCCTCCAGGATAAATCTGTACAGGCGCAGACGTTTGTACGGGTTGGTCGATAGCATCTATAGGCAGTGCGTCAGCTATAGACGGCTTTATATCGCCTTCCTCATGGTCGAGAATCTCCATGGGGACGTCTGCCGTTCCTTCGCCAATTGCTGACGCTGGAACAGGAGTTGTAGATGCCGTAGGGACCGGTGTAGTGGAGTCTGCCGGCGTGATTCCTGGGGGCGCCTCTCCACGAGTCTCGTCTATTGGAGCATCGGCAAGGTCTGCGCCAGGTGCATCTGAGACAACATCCACAAAATTGGATGCATCGACAAAAATAAATTCAGCCTTGTATGAACTTCCAAGATTGAGCGGCTGAGGCAGCGGACCTCCCTGAGCTGGCTGTGGGGAGACAGCAAACGTTGGTTGTGATCCCACCCCAGGTGTTTGTGGTCCTGACGCGGGTAGAGACTGAAGCTGCTTTGAGAGCATCGCTGATGGTAGGACCGCAGCTGGCAAAAGATGTTGAGTAGAGATCACCATAGCTTGTGTCTGTTCATAAGTTATAATCATGCGATGCTGGCAGCGATTCAAACCCCTCACAAAATGGTCAGAAGATTGCTCCACAATGTCTTCAGTAACGTCAGGATGTGACACCGAGCTCATTCCCTGGCGCTTTTGATCAAATTCGATGACGCGGGGCTCGAAGAGACACTGGCCGTTGTCTAAGTAAAATAAGAAAAACACTACATGAGGTGCTTACCATTGGCGCAAGTATGATTTCATCATATGCCCGAAGACCATATTTTTCTGCCGGTTGACCGGGTCTCCGAACGACAAAATCATACAGATTCAGGGCGACATCTCCCTTGGATTTGACTGTGAGATGTTCCCATCTCACACAGGAGCACGGTACATACCTCTGCGAGTGTGCACAGACGTGCTTTGAGATCTTCAAGCACATTCCAATCATACGAACGAGCTAGATTGACGTCTTTATAGGGAAATCTTATCTGATGTAATAGGACATAGAGAAACTCAGTGATATCGTCACCGCCCATGTTAAGCGACATCCTGGAGCACGATTCAGCTGAAAACCGGGACAATGACTGAGGAAATAGAAATGATACCTTGTATCACTTAAGACGAGACCATCGTCAACGCACGCAATGCTCGTCTTGGTGGCCCCCATGTCCACAACACACGCGTTTGAAATTCCTGCTCCATATGTTGCTGCTAGAGATTCCTATAAAAATATCGTAAGCCTTAAAAAGAGACTTATTCTCGCTGGGGCCATTACTTGCTGCGCGCATAATTGCTTGAAGCCCATGGAGACCAATAACATTCTGACCATCGCGTGCACGTAGGACCGGTCATAGAAATCTGGTATTACCAGCACCACAGAATAATCCTGAAGCAAACATGATGAGACGCAAAGATCGGAAACACTGACATGTACCGTGATAGCACGCTCATCGATTCCAAGCCTTTCCTTGAGGGTGACACGCAGGAGGGTCTCGATGTCGTTAAGTGCCAATTGAATTGATGAGTAGTCTCTAGTGTTCAGTTTACCACAATAAAAAGGCCACTTCACTACGTAACCAAGACCCGGGGGGTCCGCTAAACGCAAAGCCTTCGGGACAGTGAAATTTAATATACATACAAATCATTCAGGCCTCACCTTTTCGCCCACAACATACTCTTCTTCTGTAGGTCCATGTATCCAATCAATGCGAAAAGGATCGTTTGATTCAGGTATGGTCTCCGGAATGAATTGTTCGTTAAATGTGGAGGCAATACTAGCGGCGTTCTGGGTGACCCGCAATTTGTAGAAGCGCATTCTGTCTCTCAAGGAAATTAAGATGGCTGCTACCTTCGAGTCGTACTGTAGACAAAATGAGTTCAAATCTAACTGAGACCAAGGCATCACGCACAGGGTCATCTGAGTTGACTTGCACAGCATATTCGTCGTTGTTCTGGGAAGCTGCAAACGTCGCGCGGGCCATGCCCTCACGCTGTCTTGCAATTCCAGGGACATGTTGGGGCGCCGGGACCGGTGGTCTGTGTTTTCTGGCGACGACACTTGGGATTGTAAGAGGTGTCACGTCTGATGCCTTGCCGATGCGCAAGAAGCGCGAGCCAGGGTGGACCACAATGACTTTAGAACCACGTCTGCCCTAGGCAGTGGAATGAATTCTAGCCAATACATCGACAACGCAACAGGTTCTACCTCACTGGGAGCTACAGATACTGTCTCATCAACAACCCCCTTTGCTTTTGCGGCCCGAGCTGCATTCCTTGACCAAAGCGTCTGATTTTCTGACTTGAGGTAGTGCGATGCCCCATGTTTGGGGTTGAGTCTGGAAAACCGCGTATGTACATTTAGAATGAACAGAATGAGCTAGAACGAATACGAACGGCAAAGGCACTTGAAAGAGCGTGTAACGCATTGCGGATTCATCTCTCTTTGCATTTGGAATTCCTCGAGGCATTGGGTCTCAGAATGTTTCGAAGGTCGTCGGGGCGAGTGTGGTACGCGCTGCGGTGCAGCCTCCACCGGGTGTGTCAGTGTGATATGGCAATGTATGATTTGCTCATATAGTGCATAACATTTCTTAGCATGTCGGCTTGGTGGTCTAGAGGTATGATTCCTTCTTAGGGCGGTTAGCTGCTTGTTTGGAGGAGGTCCCGGGTTCGATTCCCGGCCAAGCCCTTTTTGTGATGAATTTTAATCCTAAACTGCCCCTCATACATGCTTGAATTGTACCCTTCTTGCGCTGAACCAGCCGAATTGAGTGCTCCAGATTGGCTCAGGTATATATGCGAGGAGGAAGTGTATAGCCTATGATTATATGAACATATATGATTGATAACATATAGACAGACATCCAGTTGAGGTAGGACGAGTGAAGATAATGCAATATATAAATACAATGTATAGATAATACAGCCCATGAGGTATCACCAAAATGCACACCTACAATGGGAATTCAGCGAAACATGTGGCTGAGAAGGGGCGAGACTCACCATCCAGAGAAGCATTGACATAAGTTTTCAAGTGAAGTAGCTTGTATGATTAACTTGTCCACCTGAGCGGGCACATTAAGCACAATATCGGGATTGAAATCACGGCCTACGGAAACGCGATTATGTTAGCTCATAATTTAATGTTCGCAACCAATCCCATTGACCTGTCAGCTTATGTTGCACTCGATTGTAGACGAACAAGGCGCGTTCGTTACGGATCTCCTGATGCTCTGTTTTCAACGTCAGACACGATTCTGTTCCACGGTCAATACATGCGCACCGCTGAAAATGTCATTCTCATCTGCTTTGGCTTTACGGATAGGTCCTTGTGGATAAGCTGCTGCGCGAATCATCTCCGTGCGACCACGATCCGCGCCTAGAAATGGTGTCTGAGCATGATGCCGACATTAAACAAGCTACCACGCACCATCGGGTTGACGAACTTCGACATCGGCCTGCATCAGTCTCCAATTGATAAGTGGATCATATACAAAAGCCTCCAAGACCGCCATGAGAGATTCCTTGTTATCTCGAAGGACTTTCATACTGATCTCGCAGGTATTCCTGAAGCTACCTTCAATGCCGCTAACCTAATAGACTCCTTTATAAGCAGCTTCTTCACTGGGAACAAGCTAAACCAGACTTTACCTCCATTGCATGGGTGAGCATCCTGGTTAGTCGAAATGGAATCTTCTCCGGGAACTTCTCACGATGCATCGCAACTTCGAAACAGTCGCCAAAATCAATGTGCACAATTTTGCCCGTGTTGCGTACAAGCAGTAAGTTCGACGGGTGTCGGTCACCCAATCCTAGGATGTGACCGACCATACTATTTACTGCCAGAGATCGTGTGTACGTCGCGCGGCGCTCTAACCAATGCTCAGAGTTAACGCTCTTGAGCCAAAGCACTCGATATAGATCCTGGCCGGTGGTATTCTCGAGAGCATACTCGAAAACTTCTATCTTTTGAAGTAGTGTCAAGTTCTCATAGTCGGGAGCCATCTGGAAAGATATGTTTCATTTATATCCGTCACCAAGACCACTGAAGCGCACCTGAAGCATCAGTCTATACTCAATATTCAAAAGAATCTTGCGAGATTCGCGATAGTCGCGGACGAGGACATGCATAGTGTCGCTATCTCGCACCCAACCAAGCAGACCTGCGTTAGGGGCCAAAGGTGTGACAGGAAATCGTTGAATGTGCAGACGCCTCTTGAAGCAGTTTGTATCCACGGAGAGGAGATTATTGACCAAACTGAATAATTGCATGACTCGCTCATCCTGTCGCAAATCTTCGTGGCCTGTCACAATTTGCGAGTAAGTTTACTGTTACACTCAAAGCATATAAGCATACCTTTCAGGATATATTGATAATCCTTGCCATCGCTCCCTCGCAACGACAAACGACGTGGTCGTTGCTTGGACTGAATGACGGATAACTTCGTGGCAAAACTAACGATCGTGACAACCGGTCGCCCACTTTGATATGTGCCTAAATATATGACATTACGGCGGATACTATATTGGTATGTAAGGATCTCCGTGAACATACCTGGCACGGCGAGCTCAAGATCACGAGCTTTGAGCAATTCCGGTGAGATAAATTGAAGATCTAAGGTCGTCAATTTAGGTAGCTGTTTTTCGATTTGCTTGAAGACCTGTATAGCGCTCATTAGTTAGGTGGGGGATTGCGCATAAGGCGGAACGGACCCCATAGTATATCTCCCAAGCTCTATCAAGGTCTCTCTGTTCCGCGTAGACTCGCCAACGCCTACAAGCTTCGCGAGCTTCGTGCAAATCCCTCCCAAAGACTTGAGCGAAAGATGTTTCTCGCGATGTTTTGGGTCCCTAGGGGAGTGTCAGATAGGGCTTACTAGAAACATTGCTTATACTTACGGCTTCAAGCATGTCGTGTAATGGCTCCAAGAAGACGATCATACCCTCAGGGTCGTGATCTGTAAAATATAGACGTGATGCTTCTTCAAGACCCTCATGCCACATCTCGTGCCAGAGAATTGCTACCCTGATCAGCTCATGGCTAACCAGAAGAGCCTAGTGAAAAGTTCATCATAGGTAGGAACGCACTGGGCGAAAAAACAAACCTGCTCCACAATTGTTGGACTGTGTTCCCTCATTCGATTCATGATCGTACTTGCGGCCTCTTTGCGTGTATGGCTGGAGGATTTGGAAGCGACGGTGAGGGGATAAACAAGGGCCTGAGGGTGATGCTTCCCGACATCACTGAGGAGGTTGTTGATATTGTTACGGATGTTTTCACTAGGGGTTTGAATGCGAGCGATGATCTGTCACAAGTTCAGCATGGTTGAAGACTGGCCAACGGTAATCATACTTGGGGAATTACTTCCAACCATGTATCGACTTCCAGGTCCGTGAACCCAGTGCTCATGGCATGACTGACATCTTCATGTCCTCCATATTTGAACCAAAGTGTCAATAATCGAAGAGTATCCTGGAGCGCGTTCTCGTTTCGCAAGGAGATCGATCGGAAGAAGCCTATGGTGATGTGTCTATTAAAGTAACAGCAGGAAAAATCCATGAACCTACCGTCGACCGCTTGCACAACATGCACAGCCAGATCGTCAGGCGGAACCCCGTTTACTCTGCTTTCGGACTGGCTTTCCAAGTAACCAACCACTTCAAAGTTAGCCAGAGCCCAGGTGTGCCAGGCCTTGTACCACAGAGAGTCGTAGTGAGTGGCAAGGAAGTATGAATGTAGAATGTCTTTTATGTTGCGCTGCGTAGAATTAAGATATTACAGTGGCGATGATTGGGATGATATATGAGACGTACAGATTCCCAATCGTCTTTGAGGGCGACTTGCCACTCGCCTTGCTTGAAGTAGCACCGAGCGAGCAACCGAGAAAGCTCGTCGAGTTTCTGACTTGCCTTTGGCCTCGCAACATCTGGCTGCGCATGGCTAGCTGACTCGGCTTGAAGAGCTCTTTGCAAGTTCGCAGAGAATTGCCGCAGGTGGCTCAAACTCTCCTCTCGGGAACCGGATGCCCATATATACTTCAGGTGGGCATAGACCACAATATTAGGTGCCTTTGAGTGCCATTGAATCCATATTCCCATGAGTTGAAAAAAAGTCCGGAAAAATCAACTTACGCGATCGGAGGATAGAAGGGAGTTTATGGTCTTCTCTGCTAAAAACATTCGATCCGATTTCCGACATAGGTTGGCAAATTTAATCCACATTACTGGATCATCTTCAGGTGTTACGACCAGTGCTCGAACCTGAAGGATGCGCTGCCAGACTTCAACATCCGGCTGACAGCCCTGCAATCTGTCGGGTGTGAGTATCGCTTACGGGCATACTGGCACCAAAAAGCTGACCTCTTCATCCACGTTTTCCGCATAGATGTCTGGCGTTCAGACTGATCAGCAAACTGTTTGTAAGCGATAATCTCTTCCAGCTCAGACAGCATTTGAGCCCGGACCATTGTGCTGTAGATGACGTCAGGATTCTGGGACACAAAATCGGGACCTGGTTTCTTACTTGTATGATCGGCCATAACTCTCGCCCACTAAAGATGTTAGTTCCGGGTCTAGCATATCACGGGCTTTGGTAATATGTGCCATAGCCTTAGGGAATTGATTCTGATGAACAGACAAAATTGCTCTATAGAAGGGGCGATCTGCAGAGTCCGGCTTCATGGTAGCGATATAATCTTCCATAGAGCCCCAATCATTAAGAGACCAAGCGGCGGCAGCAGCCATTGGTGCGATTTCTCGGCGGTCCTCGTGACTTGCTTTGGCCCAGTTCTCTTCGACTTGATGAGCAAGTTCGGTCCATTCCCCAAGAGCGTGCAAACATCTCATACGTCCAATAGCCACGTCAAGATTATCTGGATCGTAATGTGTTTTCTTCTCATACGTTGCCAGAGCCTCCTGCCATCGGCCTAGCCGCTCATACCATTCTTCGTGTTTGCTGACATCATATTGCTCACGAGCGATGAGTAGTGTGCCCCATGCGGCATCATGCTGCTGAAGCTTCGAATTAATGCTAAGCAACGCCTCTATGATTGTAGGCGACGTCTCTGTGAAGAACTCCAACTCTTTGTAGTGTAACGCTTTGGCATAAGCATGGAATTTCATTGCATATTCGCCGAGTGTCCGGTTCTCGATTGGCAACGCCTTCTCTTCATGCTCCATGAATTCTGCAAGATTGAGAAGGCGGTGCACCACATCGGAAGGAGCGAAGCTCGACGTGATAGCAGTCTCGATTGATCGAACTAGGTCTTCCTGTTGGGGTATCAGGAATGATACAATTCACAGGCAGAGGACTGACCTGGTACTGTTCATAGAGCTCTCCCCAGCAGGAGATGAACGCCGCGTTGAACAGTTCCTTTGCGAGGGGAGGATGGAGATCAACTAGACTCATGCAAGCACGTAAGGCATGGGAAGGTGATTCTTTCATAAACTCGACAGAGATCCTATGCATCCAGTCAACCCAATCGTCTTTCGTAGAGACCTGTGATACGTCCCAAGCCTGTTTGAGATGCTGTTGGTTGACGGTCATCTTTGTTGCCTCGGCTGGAGCCGAGAACTCAGCTGTCTTTGAACTTTCACTGTGATAGTCATGATAGTGAGCGCTGCTATGCGTCGAACGAGCATCAATGAGTACTTACGGGAGTTCCGAAAGGCTGATGTCTTGAGGTAATCGCTCTCCGTTCAGTAGCTTGGAAATCAGATTCTCGTATCTGGGATGAGAGATACGGTTGCGCAGCATGCACTACACACGAAATAAATCGCGCTGTCATCACACCACGAACCGGAGACATACCTTATTTACCGTGGGCACGAAGACGGCAAAATCGGAGCCCAGCTGTACTACCATCGAGCACAATGTCTCCATAACTGCCATACGTAACTCGTTGTTTGAATGAGCCAGGACTCGGACAAGTGGGTGTATGATCCGCGAAGCATGATCCGAGAAGTTGACTCTCCGGGACAGTCCGTCTATAACCTGTACCGCCCGTTTGCGCAACGGCGTAGATGCGTCAGGCCTCTCGTACGTCTTCACGATGATAGGGATGACGAGCTGCAGATACTCCTCTATGTTCGCCCCGAATGTCAGGAATGCATCGAAGATCTTGATTTGTGTGCTCATTGTCTTGTCATTAAGCTCGCCGTCAAACACCTTCAAAAAAAGGGGCAAGATGGTTGGGAGAAAGGGTTTGAACTCGGCGTCGAGAGCCCTTCCAAGGGCTTCTACAAGGGATACTAATGGCAGTTGTAAAGATGGATTCTCCCACAAATCAGTTACTAGCTCGAATATGTTTGGCATATAATTGCGGACATGCTGTTTGATAATCCCGACCAAAATGGCAAGTTGTTCCAGGTGGAAGACTTGGATACGAGAGCCTGATGCTCTCGCAACAGCGGCAAAGGCTGGAATAATCTAGGCGACAATAAATTTGAGTTGACTACATTTGAATTGTGAAACAAACCTGGGGAAGGAATGTTACACATTTGAGGCCCTGGGTCTTGAATATGGACATGATAGCCTCGATGACTTTGTGATGGCGTTCATACGCTTGTTGGTCCTTCAGAATGTCCAGAAGGGCATTTATGGCAACCGTCTGATAATAATCGTCAGATGCAGTGCTAGTGCCAATATAACTCTTGTATGCTGTGTTTGCAAGAGTTGCGGCAACTTCGGTGGGAGCTTCTTCTTCAGGTTTTATCTGTGAAAAAGTTGACACATAGAACAAACCTACGTACGAGGGGCTTACCTTGCGTCTATATGGATCTAGCGCGCCCAGGATACCCAGTACCTTGATGACTTCCCTTCTCACGCTTTGCTTGGATTCTGTCCTTAGAATTCTACTTAAGATCTGAAGCAGTTGAGGGTGATCCACTAAAGGGGTGACGACATAGCCCGTACTAGAACAGACTTGACCCAAAGTATGCAGCGCAGCGTCTCGCTTTGGAAGCGAAGGATCGGCGAGCCTCGACATGATGACTTGCATCAGCTCTGGAACATGGGGCATAACATCTTCCCCACCAACACGCGTGAGTTCCCCGAGACACATGAGGATATTTGCCGCTACAGTGGCGTTGTTGTCGTTTGCCTTGGGCAGAAGAACGCGTAACATGGGAAGCGCATATGGTTTTATTAGTCGCTGAGTAGCGCTGACAAGAAGTGTGAGCAGGCGAGTGCATTCTTCCCTGCTACGTCTACACCAGACATTAGCATTCTGTGAAGTCCGTCAGCACGCCACTCACATCACCGTGGAATACTCCAACTCTGTCAATAGCTGTATCAACGTCTTTCGAAGCGAAGGCATGACGTAGGCCGGGTTGTGCAGGGAAAGACGGCCTATCAACCCAACGGCAGTTACACGATTTTCAAAAACCTCATCGTTGACCGCAATGAATAGAGCTCGGACGTTCTCAGCTTGTGCCAGATGCTTGTCGAAGCGCTCATGCAACGAAGATAAAACAGTTTGTCGAATAGTGGGATCTGTTTTGGCATTAGAATCAATCACAGAACGAGGAAAGGCTCGAACCTGGATCCGCTATTCCTACCGTCAAGAGCTTGTCGATGACATCGCTGATGATCTCAATCGAATGGTTGCTTGCTTGGTACACAATTGGGTCCCGTACAAACAGGCGGCAACAAGTCTCTGCAGCCGCACGACGGACTTCAGCGTGATCTTCCTCCAAGTACGGCAGAGCGCAGTCGCGAACGAACTCGTTCAGGACGTGACCTAGGGCACTCATTAAAGGTTGTCAGAACTTAACAGCAACGACGTACCACTAAAGTCAAAATCTCGGAGAGTGACTAGTGCCAACGTGATCAGCTCCGGGTTCTTCTGTCCTCCAAAACTCTGTAATAAGCACCGTCAACATCAAGGAATCAATGGAGAGGAGAAAAGCTAGCCGTGCCTCGGTGGTACTAAGTTCCTTGACCGATGGTCCCGATTCACCACGAAGGAGAGACGATGGGGCACCGAGGGACTTGTAATGTTGGCCGTTCAAAATCAAAGACAAGAGGTCCAGCAAGCGATCTACCACTGGTTAGACAAATGCATGACCGAATGCTTTCAGATTACCTTGAATAGTCTTGAGGAGAGGAGGGATATGTGTCGCAATAGCCGTGAGCGCTTGGCGAAGAGGTTCACTCAAACCGCACGCGAACATCAACTCTAGTTGATCGTGCAGAAGCTTTGTTAAATTGGGGCCTACAGCAGACGCAAGCATGCCAACACATTGAAAAATCGGCTCCTCCGAAGGAGCATTCTTCTTCCTGTCTCCCGAGGGTAAGCACCACTGTTGCAAAGTTTCACGAACACGCACCCTCGCAGCTGAAGTCCTTGCTTAATATGCCCCATGATCGAATCGAGAAACGATTTCATTTCACTTCCCATCGCTGTGGCCACATGGCCGATCGCGATAAAAGCTGCAGAAGTTTCAGTCGTCGTGACTTGCCGAAGCTTTACGGAGACCTAACTCACCGACTGATCTCTCGTTTGGTTTGTCAAGCTGTGTCAACAAGTGGGCCATAGACTTGTGAAGAAAATGTTCCGAAAATGTTTGCGTATCGTAGACTGCGAGGGTTGGTATCAATGTGATAACCATCTTTCGAACAAGTGAGTCGCGATGGGTCCTGAATGACAGGATTTGCTCTGCAGCGTCCAAAAAGTTCTCCTTCATGAACTGTGAGCAGTACTTAGAGGTGAGTATTATTTGACGTTCTTCGAATTACTGACCATGCCACCATGTAGCAACAGCTCCCTGTATGTAAGAAGGGAGCCATGTATGGTTTCCGACTGGGTAATTTTCAATCCCATTTGCGCATCTTGCAGTATCTTGATCAGAAAAGGGCTGCGAACTTGTCGCTCTCTCTGGGTGATGATCTCTAAGCAGGCTGCAAGTAACTCTGCGGCACTTTCTCTGACGATAACACGAGTATCTCGCAACGGTACGAGAATCTGCTCAAATACGAGTTCGATGTGTGAATGGAAAAGCGTGGGGCTGTTTCGAGCAAGCTCCTTCAGAATCAGGACACCCGCATACCGTCCCGGTTCTTGTCGATCTGCCTGCAACAGTTTGATGGCTCCAGGAACCTCGTAGTCAAGCCAATGATCGCCAAACGTAGAGCCACTGACGGCTGCTATTTGACCGAGAGTCTTGGAAGCGGCGAGCATGACATTAATGTCGGGATTTGGGAGTAGGGTCTTGACCCAGTTGTAGAAACGGTACAAGTGTCGCCTAACTTCCAACGCGCCCTCACCCTCCGTATTCAATAGATAGTCTGTTCCGTATCACCATGAAACCCCATGGTGAGTAGAACGACGGACATACCAATGGCGAGAATGCCGCCGAGCTTCTCTACATTATTCTGACTGTGAACCAAATCAAACAGTCTGCGATTAATCGTATCCTCCCACAGCTTTGCAGAAGCGTCCGAAGAGGCTTCATGGACAGAGTTCGAGACCTGAAACAGCGTATGAGCACGGGGAGGGTGTCTCAAAGCCTGGTACATACATAGCGTTGCAAGTCTATTGCAGCCTGGAGACGAACTTCGGTGCTCTTACTCCGCAGTCCTTGAAAAAGCTGATCCAAGACGTCGACCGAGTTTGTGGACGCCATGGTCAATGGCAAGCGTCGAACAAGAGCTCCGAGTGAACTGCTCAGTGCCACAACTGGAGCTATGCCCAAATAGAGACCAGCTAAGTTATGTAATAATATCTGCGCCATAGATACCAGCGGCTTGGTGGTCTAGTAGTATGATTCCTTCTTAGGGTTAAATCTCTTACGTAAGCTGGAGGAGGTCCCGGGTTCAATTCCCGGCCAAGCCCTATTTCTTTACTCATGTTCCATAAGCATAACATCTTTTTCCGGTCTGTACGAATTTTTTGTGAATTTTTGCGATTTATTTCTGAGGTCATCTTATTTGCCTGTTTGATGCGATCGTACATCTTGCGCCCGTCGATCAGAGTGTCGGATATGGGGATGGCTATCACGCACTGAGGATCTCGCAGCCGATTTCGATGTTTTTCGAGAAAGCGCTACCTTAGTCTCATGCATATTTAGATGCTTTGTACATTGGCACCATACATGAAGTATTGGGTTTGCCTAATGTCATAATCGTAAAGGAGCTAGCTGGACCTTTAAATTGCTTTGACATATCTCTACTCTGTGTCGCTACACAACTGCTCTCTTTACCAAACTGATGCACTACACCGCTCTCTAACACTCTTTGGTGCTAATTCATATGCTGTCATCCCAAGCATCTGTAATATCATGAGGATCTTTGGTGCCACCATACATGTATGATAATCGTATATATTGTCCTGCATAAGTGCTCCTTCACAGTTGACCGTGGTCTCAGACATGAGAATTTAACGATATTAATACGTTTGACACATCTCAGTCTCTGGCTTTTATTCATTCGAAACCACCCCGAGATTTGCACATAATACCGTGATCCTGTCATTAGGCCCTAAGACTAGCCCCGTGAGGGTCTTGCCAGGCCCAATTGTGTCAATCTATGGTCCTCAAATGAAATAATTACATGGAAATATACTAGTGTGAACGACGTTCATCTCGTAGAGCCTCTGTAAGTTTCTGTAATTGAACTGAGATGGTAGAGTCACTGCCGTTGGCTGTAGTTCTGCGGCGACTAGCATAGTCCTCCAAGAAATGGTTCAGGCGCGTGCGAGCCAATGATGGCGAGATAGCTTCTACGCGAGCAATGTCAAAGCTCAATGGCGGGGTTACGGCGGCATCCATGTCTGTGATTGACGGCGACTTGGGTCAGGGAATGCTGCACCGAACTGTCGAAGGATACCTACTTTGACAGTTAGAAAATGATATGAGGATGTACAGTATGGGACAAGCTTCCTACCGGTACCAGTGACAGTTTGCAGTTCAGAGGCACAGGTGGCGTCGCAGAGATATTTTACGAAATGAGTGCGAGAGTTGGAGTTGGCAGCTGCTGTCCTCGAGTCGGAGCTGAAACACTCCGACGGATTGGCTAAGTACTGCCGCGGGGCGTCCAACATTTACAGCGCGACGCGTAAATCGTTCGTGTCACGGATGTCCGACTATATATACGAGAGTCGTACCACTCTTTAGTCTGGGCTGCTAACCCCGCGTCATCTCCTCGCTCTCCCCGTTTACCATCTCTTTCTCTCCTACTTGTTCATACCGACACGATGGGTGCCCTTTCCATGCTAGTCTTGCTGCTGACCCACCCGGTGGAGTTTCGCACACTGGTCCAATACAAGCTCTGGCATGAACCAAACCGCGACCTGACCGCGCCCAGTGAGCATGCGCATTCCGGATGGAATCGAAAGTCAATGCGCAGGTGCTGGGAGTTTTTGGACCTGACCAGTAGAAGTTTTGCGGCAGTAATCAAAGAAGTAGAGGGTGACTTGGCGAGAGCAGTGAGTGTCCTATGGTTCAAGCTGGCGCATAGCTAATTCCGCACATTCGTTAGATATGTCTCTTCTACCTCGTTCTCCGAGCACTCGACACTATTGAGGACGACATGACTCTTCCAGACGAAAAGAAACAACCTGTCCTCCGAAATTTCCACAAGTATGCGGTGACACCTGGCTGGACATTTACGGAAAATGGCCCGAATGAGAAGGATAGACAGTTGCTTGTCGAATATGATGTTGTCAGCGAAGAGTTGAACCTCCTGGATAAAAGGTATGTGACTTAACGATGGCCCTCTTTTATTCTGACGCGCGACTAGATACCTCGACGTCATTCTTAACATCGCGGAAAAGATGGAAACTGGCATGGCTGACTACGCGCACAAAGCGGCTACGACGGGGGAAATATATGTGGAGAAAGTTTCCGACTACAATCTCTACTGCCATTATGTCGCAGGCCTCGTTGGTGAGGGTTTGAGCCAACTCTTCTCTGCCTCTGGGAAGGAAGTGCCATGGCTTGGCGAACAGCTCGAACTTGCGAATTCCATGGGACTCATGCTCCAGAAGACGAACATCATTCGTGATTTCCGCGAAGACATGGATGATCGCCGCTACTTCTGGCCCCGGGAGATCTGGGGCTCCGAAGCACTCGGAAAGGCAGTCGACCAGCCGGCTTTCACGAATGTTGAGCAAATGTGCGACCCAATCAACCAGCGGCAGGCGTTATGGGTACAGAGTGCTATGGTGGCAGATGTGTTGGGACACGCAGTTGACTCACTCGACTACCTCCGTCTGCTCAAGCAGCAGACTGTATTCAACTTCTGCGCCATTCCTCAAACAATGGCAATTTCGACGCTATGTCTATGCTTCATGAATTACGAAATGTTCCAAAAGCATATCAAGATCCGTAGGGCAGAAGCTGCATCAGTAAGTGCTCTCCCTTTTCTGTTATGGACAAGTGGCTTGACTGCGCTGGCGTAGTTGATTATGCGCTCTACAAACCCTCGGGATGTCGCCTACATCTTCCGTGATTATGCACGCAAGATTCACCGCAAGGCCACACCCGAGGATCCTAGCTACATCAAAATTTCTGTCGCGTGCGCAAAGGTTAGTACCAGCGACCAAACCCTCAAATGATGATACATCTGAAGCTGGTCCATTTAGATTGATCAGTGGTGTGAGCAACACTATCCGTCCTTCGTGAGCATATCAACATCTCCCAGCGGCAACGCACAGCAAATATTTGACCGATCCGACGCCCGCACGAAAGTGGTTGAACTCACCGAGAAGCGCGAACGCGAGATTGCTTTGGAGAAGCGGTTGGCGTCCACAGGCCCAGTCAAACCGCAACCTTTGGGCGAGGGTCAAAACGACTTCAAGGAGATCTTATTTTATGTGTCCATTGCGTTCGTGTTGGTGATAGCAGTCGGGTTGGGTGGAGCCTGGCTACTCATGCAGATCTATGCGTAGACCCAAAGCGCATTAATTTACGCGCGCGTTATACCCATTTTGTGAATATAGATTATATACGAGCGCTTTCAACTATTGGTACTGGACGAAAATTTCGGGTATTTAAACTACATGAGAAAACAAACATACTGAATTCAAGATGTTGCAAGGCTGTGGCATGGAAGTAGACTGTATGTCGTCGAGGCGGTAAGGCTCAATATCGACACCTCAATCTACTTCTTGCGCTTTGTTGCTACAATTACCAAGTGTCAAAATGGTGTCAAATGTGCTAACTTGGCTTACCGGTGGTGTTCGTCTTCGGAGGTGCTTTCCTTTTCTTTTTTGTTTCTCGTTCCTCTTCCGAAGCGACATCGTCCTTTGCCTTACGCTTAGCGGCTTTTTTAATTGCTTCTGGACCAACTGGTGCGCCGGGATCCTGATCACAATCTGGGCAGAACCATTCGCCATCTGGTATTGCATCAAGCGGGGGATCCAGGCATTTGAGATGGTACGAATTGTCGCACTAGAAGAATACGTGAATACCCCGTCGCGTAAGGATGATACCAACAGACCTTGTCACATTCGAGAGGCGAATCATCCTCCCCGTTATCAGCGCTACAAACTACGCAAAACTGCGGTGCACCGATCTCGACAGGGTGCCGAGGTAAGTCAGAGAATTTCTCATTTGGCCGGGCCAACAACAAGGTGGTATTTTGAGCGGCAGCGACCCTAGAGACTGCTGCATCAGTGTGGTCCACGGTATTGAAATCAGCCAGGCGACACACTGTAGTACATCAATTCCAATCAAAGGCTGATGGCGGGTAGGTTTTGTAGCACTTTTTGCTTCATGAGGTCCTAATCCCAGTTCACCTGCAACTTGTTGAGATTGATAGCTATAAAATGTCGGAATGTGAAACATACCATTAGCAGCGCCTTGACCGAAGGCAATCGTCATAATACCGCCGTCGTCATCAGGTGAAAGTGCCCAGTGAGTGACTCCTCCGCAGGCAGCATGCGTGATTTTGCATCCCCTAGACAGAAAGCGCAGTGGATTCAATCTACTACCGACATTCATAAGAGTTACCAACATTATATCCTGTAAATAACGGAATGTTGAGTACGGCTGACCAGAAGAACCTAATAAGACATGGACTGCATAAGATGGTTGAATACAGAACAAATTAACTAACGAACCGTCACCAGTGGTTTTCCACTGCTTCGCATCAGTATGGGATCTGACAGTACTAACTCTGTAAACTCACTTTGCCAGCCATCCAATACATTCTCTGCTTATCAATCACAACCGTATTTGAGGGGCCCGCTATTATTTCGGCCCCCATAGTCGGTTCGTTGGGACCTGCGAACTTTAGCGGGATCAGTCTAGAGGTGTTAAGGATCCGCTTATGGCCATCTTATCACCTGTGGAACCACCTTCGGAATGAGCACGTCCTGCTGATTGCCCAACCCAAGGCGGCAATATCCATTATATCCCCAGACGTAGACGATTCTAAAGATGCGATGTGAGTGATGCGAAACATACGCGACATGAACAGCAGACCCTGTCGAATCAAGAGCAACACTATGTTGTTGACCGCATGCAATTTGCACTATCACTTTATCATCAAGACCTCTCACAAGGACTTCATATACAATAAGAATCATCTCATGCAAACATTTTCTGCTCAGTGCGCGACGTACGGGGTTCCCACTCAATATCAAACGCGGTCTTGCCCGCGGTAACGATATGCTCGCCGGTCTTCCCATTGCCTAGTTGCCCATGTTCACCGGAGCCAAAGGAAAAGACTACACTCAAGATTAGGCTAGTGGATCGGGTCGAAGATTATGTCATAGAGTCACCTTTGCCGCTTTGAGTGAGGACGATAGAAAACGTCACCCCCGCCGCTGCCTGCACCACATTCTCCTTCACATTGCCGTGCTTAATTCCATTCACAAGCTTGAAAGTGGATATCTCCGCGCAGGGAGGATGTGCGCACTGTAATGATACAATTTTATCGATTGATGTTTCGGGCCGGACAATCATACGACACACCTGCCCCGCATTATTGGCTCCCGAAGTCCACAGCTGGCCTCCGCTTCCGACCAACAAGGTATGGCTCCGCCCACAAGCAGCATGTACAAAACGTGTGCCCTTCTGAGACCCCAGATCCTGTGCAGTCAAGCTTCTTGGTGCGTTTTCGGAAATCGCATCGACCCCTGGGAAACCGAGAGAGCTGCGTTCATTCCGACCAAACAGCCAAGCTACACCATCGGTGTCAAGAACGACAATGTGGCAGCCCACGCAGGACGTATGGATGGATGCAGCCTTAATGTTACTGAGAGATCGTAGGATGTGGGGCTCCAGAAGGTCAGGGCCGCTGTGGATCCTCAAAATAAATAGATTGCTAGGGGTAGGAGCACCAGAAACATACCCCACGTTCACTTCTTGGGCTTTCTTACTTGCTCCTCCGCGATCTTTTCTGCCTAGCTTGGGCCTGTATGGCTGCTGAATGAGTCTACAGTAGACGTGACGGTAAGGGAGGCACGAGTTGTTCGCTGAACTCCGCGCCCCACACGCACCAGTCGGTGCCACCGCATATCAGAACTATACCAAGTAACGCACAGCACTCAGAGGATCATACTTAGGATACGCCAATGAATATTACTGCACCTCTTCCCCAACTTGGTTCTTGCTGAAAGTTAGATGCATTGATGTTGTTTGAGGTTGTCGAGCCAGACATGTTGTGATGAACAGAGGGCAAAGGCTGACAGCAACAATGGAGACTTAACGGTTACTACGCAATATTGGGTAATTACGAAACCAGTCATTCCGGATTGCATCGAGTATATACAACACCACCACAAACGACCCTGAATATACACCAGATACACGTACAGACCAGAAACATCTCCTTCGCAATGACAACCACGGAGCGACAATCGGGTCGCTCCTCCTTTGTATCTACCCGTAGGAACTTCGCACCTGTTCCTACAGCCTCAGGCTAGCGCTCGTCTCACAGGGCCGACATGCACGCAGATTTAAAGAAAGGTGAAATGTTCCGTACAATACTGTCATCAAAATTCTTTGTTGAGTAGCTCGTCCCGATCCTCTACATAGGAAGAGATGATCAGTGACATTTTGTAAACGAATAAACAAGATACTGAGTATTGTTCAAACTGGGCTAATTTCGCAGCTCACAATAGGGTTTGAACATCGCGATAAATGTATGTGTTTCCGTTTTCGAAGAAGTACATGACACGATGTTGTAATGGCTTCCCGTGATTTTGACAGATAAGCAACCCTTTCTAATCGAACACACAGTTGCCCGTTGGGATGTTCGAGCCTAAAGGATAATGGTCCGTGCAAGGGCAACGATCCTAGAAGATATCAGAGTCAGCATATCAGCCTCATCCAGACAACAAGAAGCATGTATCGCACCAAATCGAAACCCTCGACGTTCGCCGCGAGGGATCTGAGGCCAAATATATGCCCAGAGGACTACAGATCTGTTCTCAACGATGGCATCACTGGATTCAGTGAAACCATGTCTAAAACGCATAAAGCCCAGCCCTTCCAAACAGTGCTTATGAAGAAGTAAGAATAGGATTCCAGACGATGCTTGATGGCATGAGATGCCCTCCGATGCGACTCCCACGAGTGTACACAACCAGATACAGGGAAAGAATGATAAGCAAGTTTCACATTTGATTCACAATACCTAGAAACCAGGCCAATATCGACATCTAGAGCGCGAAGCAGTACGCCAACAGGATATGATAGTAACCTGGACGAAGAAGCGTTCTCGTGCATTTACCGTAGGACGGAGCGTTACCCAGACAGTCAAGTAATTTGCCCAAGCCTCGAGGTCGTATACGCACAGTAAGAGCAACGCAGGAATTGGCGCCCGAACCTTGGATCGTAGTTACTAGGAGCCAATAGGATCATCGTCGGCGACGTTCAAGTCAACTTATCCATCTCTGGTGATCCCTCTTTCCGGCTTTTATCGTTATTTCTTCGCGGATTGTCATGTTATCGCATACACCACTTAGGTCTAGGCGATACTAGGAGTCGACGTCGGCCAGCTAGTCACAGGTCATTGCGGACATTTCGAAGCTAGCTGGATCAGTATCTATCACAGGTTCGGTCAATTTCGACCCCGTTGCACTAGATGCGAATGGAACAGGGTCTTAAAAACACTGCTGTGGATGTGCCCTTGCCGTCCTACGTACAAAAATGGGAGCGCCACGTACGTCGACCACGTTTTCTTCCTGGAGCGTACGATACTCGCATTCCTGCGGAAAGTATCTTTTACCTACCGTCCAAAGAGGAGGGTCCCGATGCCTTTTCAGGTGCGGGGTCGTATATTGTTCTTGCAAGATGCAAAGAGTGCCAGAAACAACGACAAGCATGCGACCGCGCGTGGCCTCAATGCGGAAGATGTAAGCGCGCGGATCACATTTGCGTCACCGAGGAGGGACATGTACCGCTTCGTGGCCCCAAGTCCACTCGCCCAGTCCGCGCTAAAAATCCAACAGATGGAGTCGTCAAGCGCAATGCAGATTCTGTTACTCGCCAAAAACACTCGACTCTAACGAATAAGCAGAAGCGACATGTGCATATAAACCCGCACAAGCTGTCACACATGGGCAGATTCAAAGCAAAGTTGCTTGGCGGTGTCGACAGAGCGCACGTTTCCATAAGCAGATACAGGAAAGGTACTAGACCTTGAGTCGGATGAGTGTCGACATTAACAATTTGATCTCTAGGGTTTCAGGATAGTGAGGCGAAAACCGGAATTTCCTGGTATCCAGTACGGGTACCTGCTAATCTACCAGGAGAGTCAGCTGATCAATTCTCTCTTCCCGGTCGACCGTGCGTATGGGCAAGTGTAAGCTGCTTCTCTACCACTCTTCATCCTGTATCTTACGTTATTGCAGAACAAGAAGGAACTGTGTGAGATCATTCCAGAGCTCAGTAGGGAAACCAATGGCGTTGTTTGGCGCTGCATCGAATCTCCAGTACTATTCCTAGAAAATGACGCATGGGTCCACAATTTATGGGAGGGAAAGAAGATCGAAATTACGATGTATGTCAGGCGTTCTTGATCTTTGAGCACGGTGATGACGTGGAGTGTGTAGGATCAGAGAATTAATTGCGCCTTCACAACAGCCTGAAGCATCGCCACAGAACCATTTGATCAACTCTGATTCAATGGACGGCACCCAACAGCTTCCTGAATTCCCCACCGATGGTTCTCGAGATGCTTCGCTACCGAACGCATGCGCACATGCCTTCGCGGTTGCTCACAGTGACAATCACCTTCGACCCAGCATTTATGACATGGATAATCCATCTTTGTATCGAATTGCATCCTCTCCGGATTCAGACAATGGCTCCTTAAACTCGGTTCACCTACCTATGGTATCTCAGATAATCCCGCCGTCTAATACCAGTGATCATGAGCGTGATTCGACGACGTCCCCTCTTCCTCAGGATGTCCTTGCACGTGCTAAGCGCGGTGAATTGCCGCTCAATCCACCAATTACGCATGACAATGTGGAAGTCTATAACCTGGATGCTGACTACTTGCGAACTGATCGGGCTAAAAAGACCTCAGCCACAAGTGTATTCAAAAGGGAAGCGCAATCAGTGGGATTGTATGAATTCCAACCCCCTCGTAAGTGCATCTGCCATTAGCGTAATTCATGTGATTGTGAATCTCACCATACCACATGACTGTCACAGAAAGTGATTACTACCCCGATAACGTACCCGTCAATTCATTGACTTCTTCCTCAAACATTCGCTCTCATTTTTCGTTGGCTGCCCAGGCCCCGCCCAATCCAGCTATTGACCGAGGCCCTGACGCCAATATTCATGGCTTATCAACCGATAACCCACGTCACAGTGAAAAGGGAAGAGGTCAAGATCCTCGACCATTGTCAGCAGAGGTAGGTGTGACTGGCAACAAAGAGGACCCGGCACCAGCAATGCCGAGTCCTGTGGCGCAAGGGGACGACAGCGATTCTCAGATGAACGGGGCCAAAAGACTCGCGTTGCCTCTCGCCGAGGATGAATGGCCTGAAGAGATCAAGGCGTTGACGAAGAGTTATAAAGCAAAAGTTCCTGTCAGTGTCTTGCTGTGTGGGAACTCCCCATTCGTCCCATACACCTTTGACCCCAAATATGGCGTGCTCTACATGGGCTTCTTCTGTATCAAAGACATTGATGGTCCTACAGAACAAGAGACAGGTGATCCTCTTGGTTCCAGCCAACTATGTTGGCGCTTTAAGCTTGAGTGGACACCGGGACAAGTCTTCGATGGCTCGTCTACGGACCGGTTGCGTAATCCCTGGTGGATGCCATATCGTTCCAATGGGACGGACACCGAAATGATTACGCATCCATTCAGCCTCCTTCCCCTGCACTTGCTCGCCCCTAGTGCCACATCCGAGGCCGATTTTGAGCACGACACCTCCGAATTGACATTGACCTGTGGCTGGTACTGTGCAAATTGTGGTAAGCTGAATGTTCTTCGCAATCTGCGAATCCAGAAGTGCGGACAATGTGAGGCAAGTAGTCTTAGTCTCTTTGAGTCTCGCTGATAACAAATCACCAAGTCTAGACATCGAACGGCTTTCCTCCTATCGGTGTTGATTATGTCCGAAATCACAACATTACCGCTCCTATTGCCTGGCCATGGGATCGCCCATCCAGAGGCATAGTATTCGACATGATGGACTGCGAAGACGGATCGCGGATTTTTAGCTATCAGTTTCAAAAAGATATTAGTGTCAGACATCTCTTCACCTGTAATTCGGATAAGCTCCAGGAAGAACCCTCACGACTCTTCAGAGATCTTCAAATAGAGGTCGAGATGACATGGCGGAAGTCGATTGACAATCTTGCCATTGGTATGTGGCTTTAGCTATGGAGATATTCATGCTGAGGCGAACATATACTATGCACTTAGGCTCTTGCTATGCTTACTTTGCTGGTAGAAATTTCGAGCATAAAGAGGGGGCTGCATCGTGGACACAAGTACCTCAGTGCATATTGAAGGCACGGGAGCTACTTCAAAACCGATGCGCTTCAGACGAAGGCACGGTGAACTGGATGATATTACTCGCCTGGGTCAAACCTGGCTCGAAGAGCGTCTGTGTCACGTACATCACACTGGTGACAAAAGGACTGAGCATACATTCAACAGGGATGCTTTATGCCTGCGAGGCATGAACGGCTAGCCATACTGTGTCTCGGCGCTGACGTAGAGCTGTGTATCTTTGCCAAGTCTCTTTCTCCAGAGGGCGCAGGAAAGTTGGTGCAAACGCTAGTTCCACAGCTACCTGCTGCGGATTCACACTCTGAAATGGTGGAGGAAGACGTGGCCATGCAGGCCAGCTCAATAGGCGGGACAGGTTTGATAGACGCGGGCCATCTTCAAGTCGCTGACCTACAGCCCGTGCATCCGCTCGATAACAATCAAGCGTTTATTGGAATATCGGCGCCTGTTGCAGAGAATGGCGAGCCTAAATCTCACGGAGAACATGTATTCGTCACTCTTGTGCATGGGGATACGCTCATACTGGAAGGAGACGATTTTGAGGTAAATAGGATTGATTCATTCACTGTTTAATTCAAATTATGGGCCCTTCATAGTTCACCTTGAAGAAAACTGGAATGAGCATCGGTACGAATTTGGCATTATAGACTCGCGTAGTATGGCTGATAGACTCCCCTAGTGCTCTTGGGCTGCACTTGATGCAGCCACACATCGCATAAGTGATGCGATACAACAGTATCGTCTCCACTATTTGGCCGAGTCCAAAACTATCTAAGCAACAGGGTATACTCTACGCAATACTGGCCCCATTAGTACTATTGTCGCACTAATTATTCCGAAGATTGTTCTCAAATCTACTGTATTAATGACGCCATGTCAATATCTAATCGCTACCCTAGGGATAATCTCCACCAAGGAATCATATGCAGAGGAAGGAAAGTCCTTCTGCGTTCTGAGCAAGATTTCAAGTGACTCCAAGTTGGACCCTTCAAGCGCTCGCGTCCGTAAAGAGGCGGCCATCTTCTCCAGTACACTTTCTTGTTCTTCGATCCGCGATATACAAACACGTGCAAGATTGGGACATGCAAGCACCGAAGCAGATGATTCGTCTGATACACGATGCTTGCGAGTGAATGCGTCGAGAAACGCAAGGACCATGGAATCTCGGAAGTCGAGCTCAAGAGAGGTTACAGAAGGAACGGATGCAAGTATCTGCAGCCATCGATCTTCTGTTAGACGATAAGAGTTCGCGGAGATTGTGAGATGTCGCAGCGCTGGAAATGTCACCGTTGAGAAGCCAACAAAGTCAATCATATCGTTATGTATGCCGTCCTCAACCCATTCCCATTGCAGGTGCAGCCGATTTCTCGGCGTTCTTATCGCAACATACGTCGACCACATGTATGCTCCGGTGAGTTCAACAGTCAGATCCTTCTCATTGTTGATAATCGCGGCTAAAGATGGACAACAATGCGTAATATCCACCGCTGGCTGATGGATTCCGGTGAAATGTAGGCTCACAGAAGTCGACGGGGGAAAGGACAGATGTGACAAGACGGTTAGGACATCATCCCGTACGTGGAGGCCCAGCGACAATTTGGTCAGGTAAGGGAGACCAACCATCAAATCGTGTTGGGTCTGCTGGGACTCCACTTCCCCAAGAGCACCCAACAGTCGTAGGCTGAGTACTTGCAGAGACGAACACATTGACAGTGTCCAAAGGAGACGGTGTAGGGGAGGGACGAGTTGATCGTGGAGAACCAGTGCGGTTAAATCGGCGCATGATAGCCAGCCCATCGAGATCCCTCTGATATCAACCCTACGCAGCAGTGGCATTCGGCCGGAGAAAATAGCCCGCGAAAGCATCTGGGCATCTGCTTGCAGCGTGAGGGAGCGTAGTACGGGGGCAGGATGCGTGAATGCGGCTAGAACTGTTGACATCTCTGTCGGGCGCAGCCGCAGTGCATGAAATTCGACAATACGGTCGACATGGCTCGAAACAACACGCGCTCTGCACCCTATGTCGTCAGTAGAGTCCAAGATCGAGCGCTGACCCTCGAATTTGACGTGAAGCGGGGAGTCTAGCGAACGCCCCAAATAGGTATGCAACATCGATAGACTAGTCCGCGAATTTACGTAGATGAAAGACCAGAGCTGTGGGGATGCGAAAGAGAGTCGACGCCAATATCGACAAACGTGCGATAAAGCAAGACAGCCCGAATAGTCGAACATGGGCCATCTCCCAAATGACAGTGCGGCTGCTTGATGGAAAATCTCGTGCAAAACGTCGTCCGGAACAAGGGAAATGGGAGAGGCTTCTAAGCTTGGAGAGGACATGATGTGTATGCAGTGGGCACTGTGAATGGCTAATCATTTGTATATACTCAATCCCTTGTCTATCAATATCAGCTTGAGGGAAACCCACATTCGTAAAGTTTGAGTTCGACTTTTTCCCCAGCTCTTGTCTCGGTATACTTCGAAGTATCTCTTTCGCCGGACAATCTCTACAAATCGACTGTACCTGTAGTACAAGCGTATGTTAATGGGCGCGTGTAAGAGTATAGCAGATGTCCTGAGCTGGCAGTCAGCGACACTCCCCCAGACGAGTGTCAGTATAGCACTACGATTACTGGCGTCGCCAGTGGTAGCGAGAGGCTAAGAGCGGCGGCGGCACCGACGCTAACATGAAATTAGTCACCTTATCTGACAGCCGCAATGGCGACGTGCCACAGCGCGCCTCGATCGCCGCTTTAGGCTATTGGAAAGTTTCGACTTTGTTCTTGACTCGTTCTAAGCTCGTTCTTAGCGATACCGGAATATTCAGAAACCTTTTGTAGAATGGCGCAAGTCACCGATCAAGCGAGCTCTCTCTCCACTTGGATTGCAACTAGCACGATTCTCGACTGGCTGAAGCCGCCACGCGGTGAAGCCATTGCTCGACTGCGAACAAATGTGCTAGGAATGTTCACCTTAGCCCTTCTCACTCATCTACTTCCGCTACCCTCCCCATGGATTGCTATTGCTATACTCCGCGGGAAAGCGTCATCCAGCAGTATATATTATAACTTATGTGCTCTTGGTATGTCCTCCTTGTGCGTGGCTGGAACATTGGTTGAGCCTTGGTGGCAGAGACACTCGTGCTGGCAGTACTCGCATTCAACATAGTGCAAGCGTCGTATGCCTTGAGATATCCTCGTGCGATACCCAAGTCTCGGCCACCCCCATCTCCAGCAAGGATGGTTCACACATCGCCTCCACCACGGCAGTGGCACCTCAAGGGTCTGTCTCCAAATGTACGTAGTCTTATATCCGCAACGTTCTTGCCATGTGACACAAATGCTCATCTGTCGTAGTCGAGCCCTCAGCGACAAAAGTCATTCTCATACGCTTCGTCGCCATTGTCGACGCCATCACGAACACTCAGCTACACAATTCCCCCGTCCATCGCCACTCCACCTGATTTATCTTTCACGTCATCATTGGGTTCTGTGCCCGGCTCCCCTGCTTCTCCTCTCGCTGCGTACAGGGGCAAACATAGCACTATGGCCGGCCGTGAGTCCCCACATGCTTCGAACTATTCGACATGTATGTGATTGACCATGTATACATTCAGGCGCATTCGATGGCTCTCTTCTTAGTCGACTGGCACTTGAAGACTCCAGCGACGAAGAATAACTGCATCGTTATCACACTGCTAGATGTTATATGCTGCAGGCCCTGTTGACCAACGCAAGGTTTGGTGTCGCTGCATTGCTGAATGGCAGCTTGAGAGCTTGTATTGTTCACGATGATATATACACCTGGATATTTACAATGATCATGATGCGACGCCCTAGCATATCCGCATAACGGCAGTCTAACTCGCTGATCATTGTAACCATTGACTTGATATCGTATTGAGGGAAACGCAGGTCCTTTCGACATCAAGCTCTTAGAAGAGATGTTGTTGGTCCGCAACGAGCCCGCCGAAGTAACAGGTCAGCGCCTTGAGCTTTTGACCCATCCATTCTTCCTCTACCTCCACCATTTCTACCTCTCTGTCGGCCTTCTCCTTTCCCCTCTGCTTTCTCGCCTTCCGAGAAGTGGGCTCGCTCCGACACCGTTCCGCTTCAGTTTCCATTTCTTCTCCGCCGCTCTCATTATTTTGCTCTAGCAAGGCTGCAACTTCTTCTAAGCTGACATTGCGCGGTAAGTAGTAGGCTACATTTCTTGTCAGGCGACGCGCCAGTTTAAAGAGCATTTTGCCATGGATAGGTCTTATAGAGGCGAGACTGTATTCAGACGCCGATTGTGCTGAATCATCAGCATGCTGCGTTGCGCCCACTTCCTGGTTTTGTCTGTCCGTTAGGTATGAAGGTCCACCCCATGGTGGACTCAAGAATATTACATCAACTTTGCGCGACCGAAGGGGATCCTGAAAGGCTGGCGATTCCGCCAGGTTCTGAGCAAAAGAGATGAAGTCTGCAAGGATAAACTCAATGCGATCTGCAACGCCGTATAGAGCTGCGTTGTGTCGCGCAAGCGCTAGACGGACGGGTGAAGTATCGAGCGCAATAACTATAAGTTCCATGTCGTTAGTGAGAACTGTTTGCGCCGTTATGCCTCATACCTCGTTCGCATGTCTTAGCGAATGCGATGGCATTGCCGCCAACCCCACAAAATGCATCAAGGACGACATCGCAGCGACATCGCTCGGCAATCTGATTTGCGACGCGCTCGGGCGTGACGCTGTACCAACCCTCCTCATCGAGCAAACAACCAGATGAATACCGGGAGAAATATCTCTCTCGCTGAGAATAATCTGCATGGTGATAACCACGACATCAACAGCTGCTCTCTGAACTTAGTTAATAGATACATACATTTCTGCAAGTGAGAGGGAATCTGCGAAGGGTGTGTATAAAACGGAACGAGCCCCGTTGCGTCGTATTTTTCTAGCCCCGAGCCTAGTAAGCCTGTCTTGCGCTTCTTGGTGGGGCGAGCTTCGAGACCCTGCGGTTCACCTTCCTCCCACTCTGAAGCTCGGCGTTCAAGGTTTGAAGTAGTGGCCGAGCTGACACCACTGTCGGATGTGGCTAGAGCTGCTGATTGTCCTGGTTTCTGTGACTCAGACGTTTCGAATACCTCAGAGACAAAGCGAGACAGTCCCGAGATTGCTGAGTGTTTACGACCCATATCGCCTGGAAAGATTATTGAGCGAATAAGCGCTTATGCTCGCGCTCTCTGCAGACGGGCGCTAATTAATCTCTTCCCGGCGTCGCCCACGTACGTCTTCTGACCTCGAAGTTAATGAACATATATATCTAATATTAAGCAGCTCCACGACGTGAAAACAACAGGAATGGAGGAGACCATCAGCAAGAGGCTGCATGTCTCTGGCCTAACACCAGCTATAACTCCAGATGATCTCTCGCAGCGATTAGGCGGTTTTGGCATCGTTAAGGCACTCGACGGCTTTAACCTGGTTGATGCAGTAGGCCAACCGAGAAAATTTGGGTACGTCACTCTCGAGACGACCAAGAAACAGCTGGGTCGATGTATGTTCTCAACTCTTTCCAGCTCTGTGTGTAACTCAAGAAACATGCAGGTATGAACCTCCTCAGTGGCGTTACTTGGAAAGGCGCAAAACTCCGCATTGGAGAGGCAAAACCTGACTTCCGCGAGAGGTGCGTTTTGAGCTTAGCTCTTGTCTTCTTTGTTAAGTTCTCGTTCAACAGTATTGCATTGGAGCATGCCCTCCTTAAATGCACTGCAGAAGAAAATGAGGGCCCTCAGCGAAAACGGCGCCGCCTACCCCGCGGGGTTCAGGGAGTGCATGCCACAGATATGTCGCTAGTTACAGCCGAAAACGTTGCATCCCGACCTGGATGGCGCGTAACTCCAACAGGGCGGCTCATCCGTCCTATCCGAATGCGGCCAGATCACCCCTTACCAGACCCACTGCCTATTGGCGGCGGTCCGAGAAAGGGCGAAAACATAAAGGACAACAAAGGAAAACTGAAGAAACGTCTGAAGGATCCGCCAATACGTGCAAGGAAACGAACCATCGACCCGACAAGATGGGGCGCGCAGCATTTGAAGGGCGCCTTTTTAGACTCTGTAGTTGCGGACGATGCCATGGACAGCAGTGCACATAGATCCATCACCATACGACAAAATATTTATGCGACCTCTGACGTCCACACGGAAACTAGTTCCGAAGGTGAGAGCCTTGAGGAAGAAACACGAGATAATGGCGAGCCCGCAAGCATACAAGTATCCGTGAAACAAGGTTTTACGTCCCAACCAGAATCCGCCCTTCCTCGTGTGATACGCCAATCTTCACACAATCTGGTCCAATTTGGGGAACAGGATGATCTTGAACGAGAGAAGCAAAGATCACTTGGCCTGCTTCAGGCACTATTTGGAGATCAAGACGAAAATTGGGGTAGTCAAGAAAGTGTTGATTCGGACGTCGAGATAAACGATTGGACACGGCAGGCAAATAGTTTTGTCCCGATGGACGCCCCTGTGCAGGGAGACGAAAGAACTGAAGTTACTATGGATCTAGACGATCAGGATATCTCTACCAACGCAGTCGCCAGTAAAGAGTCTCCAAGGCCGCCAACTGTTGTGCCTATGCAAACAACAAAATTGAAAGATCTTTTCGCTCCAAGGGAAGAAGATGGTATGCACGTCTTACTATTGAATCGCAGTACCCTATCTGATCATATTCAAGTAGCTGGATTCTCGTTGCTCGGACATTTGAACGTGGATCTCGAGCTCGATGACACCATTGATTTAGAAGCACCCGTTCAACAGGTATACTCAGCGCCGACACGTGCTAACGTTCCGCTTATTCTGCCCTCAATTCCTGCATTCGACCTAAAACGCCCACTATTCTTCCCGTTATCGCCGGAAGAGAGTCGAGGACGGACACGCCATGCGCTGGACCCGACAGATTGGCGGGCTTGGTTTTATCGCACGGACAGCACGGAAGATATTCAGAAGCGATGGGAGGAGACCCGGGGTGAGCTAACGAGTGGTTGGAAAAGGAGACATCGAGAGGCCATCAAGAGTCGTCGTCGTCGGGGTGGACTTGGAGATGGGGATATTTGACTTGCCGAAGTCAAAGACAGTATTTTATATACTTGCGTGTGTCGATCAATAGCAATCTGTAATCGAGCGTGGTGCCAACTGAACGCATATTGACCTGATCAAAGGATATGACATAGTCCGTTCTTGTCCGAGGCCTCATTTATTGAACCAAGTACGAGTAAAGTACTCGCCCAACGCGAATCAAGCGGACCAGATGTGATGTCACCTCCAGTTACCTTTTTGTATTTCATTAATTGATTGGCGGCGACCAAGCGGCGACATGGGTCCTGAAGTGGCCCTGGGTCCTGCTGGCGTCAAGATGGGCCATTTTCTCTCTTGCTCTCGACCACAACAATGGGGTCGTCTGCACAACCTCAGCCTCGCTGGGGACCGGCGTGGTCGTTACTTTGCCTCGCTCCGTTGCTGCTTGGGGTTCCCTTTCTGGCTTACAAAGTAAACTATGGCAAGTCGCATGACCGCCTATCCATTTATGATTTCTGATTCGCTTCTCTTGTTCTCTCTTGCTGAAGCACTTCCCCAACCCGTGTCGGACCTGTACGCACCAGTTGCTATTCTGTTCGTCTTAAACAATTTACATATTGACCCTTGGCATACTTAAGTGTAAATCCCATCACCGGGCTTCCTCAACTCTCTGAGGCGCGCGTTCTCGCATATGCCAAGTATCTCTCGGAGGATATAGGGTACCGTACGGTCGGTACCCGCGAGCATGCGTTAAGCGATGCCTGGATGGTGCAGCAAGCGGAAGAGTTTCGTTCACAGTGCGAGGATATTGTGCGCGCATATCCTGACCGGAAATTAGAATGTGAGGTCTGGCACCAACGAGGGAGTGGGAGCCATCGGTGCGTCTGCTAGATGGGCATCGTGCGAGTGAATCCCACTTACTGTTGCTTTTCATCACGTTGGAATTAGGTTTGATATGATGGGACATCGACTATACAAGACTTATGTCGACCTCACGAACATTATTGTCCGCGTATCAGACGGGACACCAGAAGGGAAGGAACACGCGGTTTTAGTGAATGCACACTTGGACAGTACATTACCGTCCCCTGGCGCTGCGGACGATGCGCTTCCAGTGGGCATAATGCTGGAGTGTATGCGTGTGTTGGCTCATACACCAGACTGGAAACCCACACATGCCATCATTTTCTGTGAGTATAGTTGTTGATGTAGGGCGTCGAAATCTTGTGGTCGCTGATGGCAGTTGGAGTGTTCAACAATGCAGAAGAATCTTTGCAAGATGCCTCACACCTGTTTTCTACTCAACACCCAACAGCGAGCACGTTAGTAGCCCTGATCTAATTCCCTTTAATCTAGTCTGAACTTTTTGTAGTGTCCGGGCTGCAGTTAACCTTGAAGGTGTGTCAAGCTTTTCATTTTGAAGTATGAACTTCATGTGGTTGGTGATCAGCCGCGGGTACGACAGGAAGAGAAATACTCTTCCAAGCGACATCGGAGCAAATGATTCGTGCATATGCTCGTGTTCCAAGGTGCTTCATTCTGATATCGTACTGCATCGGCTAATATTCATATGTTGTCTCAAGGCCCTTTGGGACCATTGTTGCGAATGAAGTTTTCAGTTCAGGGATCATTCTATCCGAGTAAGTCACATATAGGCAGATTGGTGTGAATGCCGTAAACATACTCTGTTCAGCACCGACTTCCGTCAATTCGAGCAGTATCTCAACGTCACTGGGCTTGATGCAAGTTCAATGTTTCTGGTCAGCGTATTGCTTCACTGACAGAATTACAGATAGCCATAGTTGGGAATAGCTACTTATATCATATGCGTAAGGTAAGACCTTGAAGCTCGAAGTGGCACCATGGAATCCTTGAACAATCATTTGTGCAGGATGTCGTGGAAAATATCGAGCCAGGAGTTGCTCAGGTACGAGCATATCTGATGTACTGTCTCCTGGTATCATTCGTGACGATTTTTTTCAGCATATGGGCGAAAACGTTCTTAGTCTTCTACTCTACCTCTCATCACCGGAGTCCCCTCTTCCAACTCTAACCGAGGGGTATAGTCCTCCTAGCACTGTCTTCTTCCAATTCCTTGGCCAGTTCATCATCTATTCATTTCGCGCCGCCAAAATCGCGTATACCTCGTTATTTGTTCTCTCCGCTGTCTTCATTCGTCTTGCATACGTTAACCCGGCGCCGGCGCTGAAGAATGGCAAGAGTATCCTGGGTGAACAAATAAAGAGCGCGCTGGCTGTATCAGCTGCTGTGGTGGGGGCCTTTGTTGGTGCGAATGTAGTCGCTGCTACAATGGTGAACGTTCTAGGCAAGGGAATGAGCTGGTTCTCATCCGAGCGTGCATGCGTCTTCCTTTATGCACCTGCGGCGCTTACTGGTTCGTACCTATTCATCATCCCAATCATATAGATCAACCTGAAAAATGGACCCAGGTGCACTTATTTCTCAGTTGCCAATGGGCCGAGTCAGGGAACACTCAGCATTCTGCTCAGTACTGCTGTTACAGTCATTCCTCGCATGTGTGGGCCAACTTGCAGGCATTGGGTCTGCGGGTGTTTTTGCTCTTTCAGGCTTTCCAATACTTGTGGCTCTCGTACTGAATTCCATGCTGACGAAGCCTGGCGATGACCTTTCGTTGTGGAGTTATGTTGTCGCAATGTCTACGCCTCTCTCATTGGGCGCGCAAATGTACTACATTACTCTGGATGTATTTGTCCCTCTGGTGCGTCTTTATCTCACCGTCCCCGCGTTGGTGTGGGCTGTCCTCACTGAGTCGATTCCTATCAGACTGGTCGGATCGGTGAAGAGGCACCCGCAGAATACATTATTGCGTCCATCGTTGCCGGAGCCGGGGCATATGCAATTCCCCTGCTTGTGCCTTTCGTACACCGCTTTGGGCGCCGTACAATCGTACGCGCCGCGCTTCTATTTTCTATGACTATCGCGGTCATGATGGCCGTGTTTTCAATGCGATCACCTTTCGACTCGATGCATCAGAAACGGGTGTTCGTCATACACATGGAAAATGTAAGTCAGTGACACTGTAAATGTGACCGCTTGACTAATCTCGCAAGGGCCTAGGTCACAACACAAGAGCAGCATCTCCATGTCGCTGCCGCAGATGGTGCGCCTGGATTTGAACTCCTCGCTCAGAGCATCGCGCAAGAATTCAGTGTGCCTGGGGCAATACCAGCGCCTATGAATATGAGTGCTTGGAATAATGACTGGGACACCTTGTATCCATTCTCCGCTGTACGAAATCTTGCCCTATTGTGTATGCGCTTGACTAACAGTCTCATAGTTCTTGACGCCTTACAAGTTCGAGCTACCCCTTAGACCGGAATACTTGGATGCCCCGGAGCATTCTTTCAATATATTAGCAGCTAATGATACTATCGATAGAATAGCAGGCACTAGAAGTTTCACCATCGTGGTGGACCATCCTGGTATAATTTGGACATGTACGCGCACAAGCTTTCTATTCAGGCTCCAAGACATTAACCATGAGCTTTTTGTACAGCCATCACTTTCGAAGCGCATGTCTTACAATGGACACTGGATAACAACCCGCCAGACGAGTATGCGCAACACTACATCAAAGAAGGCTCTTTCTACGGGCACGATACATGGAAGATGGACCTCGTGATCAAGATACCGGAGCACGATCCCGATGCGCGCATTCGCGTGAACTTTGTGGGGATTCACGAAAAAGCGATGTGGCCGGCAAAGAAAGCGGAGAAAGCGGAGGGAGGTAGAGCTATGCAGCTGTTCGAGGAGTTTGATGCCTGGATAGACAGGGAGATGGAAGGCAAAGTAGATGCACTACTGATCGGATGTGTGGGGGGAATTACGACGGTATGATATGTTGTATACGTGGTCGATCTACTTAATACTTGTTTCAGGCGGTTGTTTGTACTTTTCCACTGGCGCAAAGCTGGCCTTTTTCATTTGCTTTTCATGGACGATGCCAGGTCTCGCGCCCGTGTCCGGGATTTCGGCTGACATAACGAGTCATTCTCTGCCGAGCTCGCTGACCAAACGCCAATTCGGCGTCCCGATCTGAGACAACACGTGATGACTGTTAACAGAAATGACTCGGATTCAAATTGAATCACAATTCACAAGTGTCGCCCGAGGGCGGCTTCTTAAGCTTGCCGTTCCCGTGTCGGAAAAAATGAGGAACAGGAATTATCGTCTTCTTGACGCATCTGTCGTGTGGTGAACACGCTGGCACGGTGAGTGAGACTGGAGCCCCACATTCGGTATTGAGGATTATGACTAACCTCTCGTCTTTTTCCTCCCCCCCAGGTCGTCGGTCTATTAGCAGGCACTCATGTCTCAGTCACGCAATGACATGACGGAAGTCGTTATGAATATGCCCGAATTGACTGAAGCAGGACTGTCACCTGTGTATGAACACAGCACGATCCGTGTGTTCGACTGGGGGCACGAGAAACGCGAGTCGGCTGGTGGAATTGTTTGCGAGCAGCCCAAAGGCGAGACAGCAGCGGACAAAGTGGAGGACGAAGAGACCTACATGGACTTTCCCGACGGTGGACTTCGGGCATGGCTTGTCGCGCTGGGCGTACGTCTGTCCTTGCGCATACAAACTATATGCGTACTAATAATATTGTGATGTAGGTTGGGTGTGGGATTTGTGCGACCTTTGGGTTCGTCAACGCATGGGGTGTACGTTGCCCATACCCAACGGATGTCAGCTGTGGGGAGTTAACGATTAGCTCAGGTCTTCCAAGCATATTATGAGGAAACTATGCTCCCTAACACACCGCCATCCACAATGTAAGCTATGATATAAACCTTTTGAATGCTCATGCCTTCAATATTCATAATATTTCAGAGCATGGATCGGATCGGTCCAAGTAAGCACTCTGTCCGAGAGACACAAATGCGAATTCTGATTACAGATCAGTACGCGCTCGTGTTCATACCAGGTCTAATATTTGGGCGACTATTCGACATCGGCTATTTTAAGCTACCTGTTAGTATCGCCGCGGCTGTCCTGGTGACTGCCACGTTCCTTGTCGCGGAATGCAAAGAATTCTGGCAGCTTGTCCTATGTCAAGGTCTTGCCGTCGGAGTCAGCCATCTCCTTACTTTTCTCACATTGCAGCTCACTGATCTTAATGCGCAGTTTGCTTCCGGTGCCGTATTTGGGCCAGTGATGGGAATATTACCCCACTGGTTTCAAAAAAGGCTAGGCATCGCATACGGCCTAACGGCAACAGGCTCTAGTATAGGCGGGACATTGTTTCCGATCGCCGTACGCAACCTGATTCAGGAAGTGGGGTATGTATATTATGTGTTTACCAATGGATTCCGCTCTAGCACCGACGCTCAAGCACGCTCATGTGCAGATTCCCATGGACTATGCGCATCATAGGGTTCATCCTCATTTTACTCCTCGGCGTCTGTGTCGTTGTACGTTACGCCTTCGTATCTGGCTACTTCTCTATTAAGGCCTGATATGACCATAGACTACAGATCGTCGGCTCCCTCCAAAACCCAAGCCCGGACCCTTCATCAATCTGCATGCATTTAAGAATCGTGCATATGCTACATACTGCATTTCGGGATTCGTAAATTACCTCGGATTGTATACTGTACGTGATGCCTGAGGCCGGGCTACAGCTATGCCAGTTTCTTACTTAACTTGTTTGTTACTGATAGGTATTGACGTATATTGATGTCAGTGCTACCGCATCTGGTGTTCCCGTGGAATTTTCCTTCTATCTGCTTCCAATCGCAAATACAGGCTCGTTCTTCGGCCGTGTATTGGCTGGAATATTGTCTGATCGTTATGGTATGGTTCATTCACACCGCCAACCCTTTGTCGTGCACTTATGGCCTTTGTTTAGGACCACTCAACACTATCATCCCAGCGAACTGCATCGCTGGAATCATGACGTATATTTGGCCGCTTACAAGTTCCAAAGGAGGCGCAATCGGTGTCGCCATCATTTACGGGTTCGCTGCACTTGGTTCTCCTGCAGTTAGCTCGAGAGCTGATCTTTGGTTCTCAGCATGACATCAGGCATTTATGCTTCCTTGATCGCGCCGCCTATCGTCGGAATGGGGGATCGGTGGAATGTAGGCACACGGATCGGAATGGCGTTCACCCTTGTGGCTCTGGGTGCGCTCTCTGGACCTCCCATATCCGGCGCAATCAATACCGCGACAAATGGGTTTAAATTCGTGGGCATATATGCAGGTGCGTCCTTCGTCTAGAGATAGAACGCTGTGCTCTGACGTGTGCATACCTATTATTAGGCAGCGCTATTCAAGTTGGCGTGGTCTTATTGCTCATTACGCGATACTTTGTCCTGCAAGGGCAATTCTTCGGGAAGTGTTAAGACACGGACTCATTCGCATATAAAGATGATTGCATACTACTAGATGACTTGACACGACAGGACACACGTACTGCATGAGGTTCATAGAGCACTGGAATAATCGCTGTCGTACCGGTTTAAATGACGCCGGAAGGGATTCGAAAATCTCGGATTGAAATAGAATTAGCACAAGCACGGGATGCGATCATATGATCGTGCCATTCTCCGCAATGATCAAGCCCGTCGCCGGCGTGCAACTATTCACGCAAGTCCCTGCTTCTTGCATGCGAGCAGGTGCAGCACACCCACAAGAAAAAAAAAGCTTCAGCTGGTCAGAATCAATCAGCTGCCCTGTGCGTCGGAACCACGTAATTGACCATGCCCAGACCCTCAGTTCGCAGTCCGCCGTACCAGTGCTGGTGCTGCGCCTTATGATCCATCCATCATATTCATATTCATGTCTGTAATTTTCTGGCGTGCTTATCAACATCTCGGCTACCTAGTATACTACGGCCACGCCCCAACGTACATCCTACAACCCAGGCTGTACCAATTGCCCTTGCCATGATGACTCGTACATAACACCCCGGAAATACAATGCCCTTGCTGCTTACATAGTAGGGCCAGGCCAGAAAAAGAAACCAATTGTATATGCAGTCCCTACCACCATGAGTGAGATGCTGCTTCCATTATGCAGACTGAGGTATGCACGCACCCTGTATCTCCACAATCACTGAGGACCTATCTCTTGCACATCAACGCCATCCACCGCCTTTAAGGTCTCCCAATCCCCCAGGCCAAACGATGCCGGTAACACTTCCCACACCTTCTCTCGGCCAGAGTTGATGGTGTCCTTGACGGTCAAGTTGCAGGAAGCGCACAGCCCTATGGTCGTCACCCCCTCTTCGAGCTTCCCGCCACACCACTGGTGGTGGTATGGCACTGTATCTGCGACATGATTCAATGTGTGAAAGGCGGCGACATGCAACATGTTGCCACAGTGTCTTGAATCTTTACAGCCCGGACGACTAAAGTCTGTCTTCAAAAATTTCACGACGTGCATCAGCTCCGCCTGTGTAGTAAGCTCTCTTCCGACGAGGAAATTGGTACACACGTCCCACTGGTCAGCGGGCGAGACGGCCAGACTACGCAAGCCGCCGAGTGCTTTCGCGAGGGGCAACCTAGTCAGGGCGTAGTAGACGCTGGGAAGTATTACTCGGACATCTGTCTTGATGGCCAGCTCGATGTAAGCGAAATGCTCGTCCTCAAACGGAGGCACCAGCCGTTTGGTCGATCTGGCGTCCCAGGCCGCGCATGAGGAAGGATACGCCGTCGCAATTAGATTGATGGCGCGCTGACGCAAGACGGGCGCATTGTACTTTGTGCTGAGGCGGAGGACACTCGCTACAATGGGGAACTTGGTTGTCACTCCTGGAAGAAAATACCTGAGGAATGAACGAGAGCCATACTCAGCAATCAAGCGCGCCTGGACCGGTTGAAGACGCAGAACACGCACGAGATGTCGTATATGGACTTCAGGAAGTGCTTGAGGTCTGCTGCCGAGTCCTGCAAGCGCAGAACCCGGCAACCGTCGCGTGTTTCTGCCTGAGCTGCGTCCGCAGTCGGGGATTGTGGTACGGAGAACATATCCCTGAACACCTCGCACTGCTCAGCGATGACGGCGCCGTGTACACGGAATGCGGTATTTTCTGCAACCAACAGGATACCGCCATCATAGTACCAGACATCGTTGCTGGGAAGAAAGTCAGAGTTCGTCGGTGATGATGCTTTCAGCTCCGCGTTCAAATCGTCCGTCATTTCTGTGAGGCTACTTGTAGACTCCTCGTACGAGTTGATTCGCTTGGCAGAAGCCACCATCTTGATCGATCCGTCGTACCTGAGACTAGTGTTTAAATTTGGAAGATACAAGCGGGGTTGCGGTGCTGGACGGGTTGAAACGTGAACGACTTTTGCGGAGAGGAAAGTACAGGCGAGCTGACGAGGAAGTCTCGTGCCAGAAGCACCGCAATGCCAAACCTTACTATCGCATAGGGGGTTCTGCAAAATCTGCAAAATTCGCAGAACCCCATTACTGCCCTCTTCATTCATCTAAAAAATTAGGAAAAAATATGCGCATGTTTCATATGCACATTCAACTCCTCATCTCGAAAGAATAGAGGGATGGAAAGGATATGAAAGAGCTATGTTGAAAGTACTGTTCATAAGTGAAGTTGCTCTCGAGATCTGGTGATCATCGTGACATTATTCTTCAATCGCAGCGACAGGCTCCCCATAATCAAGCATTTTCATCCTTATCGTGCTGCCCGATTTTAGATCAAGGGAGATGATTGGACTACAGTAGAGTAACTACAAAATCGACGGCGAGGCGACGACATCGCGATGTGATATGCATCAACCACATTGCAACACAGGTTGGGACTCCGCTGTGGCGAGTGGCAACCGCCGTTCAATGAAGGTGAGCCAGGCACGCGAACGAGCGTGCCGGTGGTGTTGCCGTTGCGGACTATGAAGTTATCGCTGTGACCCGAGGGTGACAGAGAGACCAGATATGAAGTGATCTGACACCCCTGTTCGACGGCATTGGAAATGTACCGTTCCCCTTCACCGGAAATTCACAAACATTAACAGTACATAGGTATAGACTAAACCCACAATGTCCAGCGAAAAATTCACGAAAAACGGATGTTTTGAAGTTCTCCCCTGTGATAGCAGATACGGCATTCGCGAATATATCGTTTGTCAAGAGCATCCGCTTGCTCCGGGCAGGCAGCTCCAGGGCATATTTGCACGCCAACTCGATGCCGACAGGGAGAAAGCGTCGGACGCGATTTACTGCATCGTTGGTCTCCCGTACGATGCAATCGGAACTCGAACAATCTCGACTTCGCACAGTGATACGGAGTACGCCCACTCCACGCTCAGCGAGTTGGTCATTGACCTGGATTCACATCGATGCAATGCACGGCCAGCTGGCGATGCATCGACGACAAGTTGAGTCTCACAAGTGACTCATCAGAGCGGACCACCAGAGACACTTAGTGAATGCAAACTGTCGATCCCTGGCAGAGATGTCAAGCGAGGACGGGTATTGTGATGTTATATATATACACTCATCTCCGACGCCACGGCGACAACTTCCGCACCTCCACCCACTTCTGCAACGCTATCGAGTGGCTCTACTCGATGCCAGGCGCGCAACCTCCCATAGACCATATCTAGGCGCACAGGACAACGCCAACCGCGATGCATCTTGGCACTTCCCTCCACCTAGTCTGGCACCCAGATACTTTGATGCGTGCGAGGCCACGAGACTCCA